GGGTAGCAGAGGTGCCCTCTGAGTATCCGGTTGGCTTCTTAGTAGAGACAAAAACTTGTTTTAAAAAATTCTGTTGTCTAACATTTTATTTTTGTTTTTCCAGCCCAAGTTTATCCAAGATTTTATCAGGTACACAACCTTATATAGTACAGTTGTACTTATTCCTAGACTTATTGTACATAATTCCATAAGTAAAATTGTACAAGTTTTTTTCAATTTACAATTGTCTTCCTAAAAAACCTAAATTACTAAAAAAATTTGGTTAATTAATTTTGATTTAACAGAACACAAAAAGAAGGCAACTATGACCTGATATCTGGTACTCGTTATGTTGGCAGTGGTGGAGTTTATGGCTGGGATCTAAGAAGAAAACTGATCAGGTAACTTAGCATACCTACATGCAGTGGTGTAACTTTACTTTTTTAACCCTCAGGGCAAGTTGGGCATGAAAATTAGTTGCCCATCAGACAATGGCCACTGGGGTACCTAGGTAGGGGGTATAAATTAAGGGGAAAACATGACGACCCGTTCTCCCGGCCACCACCGCTCTACTGTATATGGCTATACTGCCTCAGATCTAGCCTTGGCCCACAATAAACAACATTTTAATCGAGTACATGCACTATAAAAAAATTGTCCGACAATGAAAAACATAAACTTAAAGATGCATGCCCAGCTTTTTTTGGCAAGCCAATTTGCCCAATCAGGCAAGCAAGATAAAACGTTTACTTGCCCGTCTTGCTCTGCAAGTGTTAAGTTGTAAACACGTCTGACCTAGCTTCATGAAATTTTTATCACTGCACATCATCCACAAAACTCCTAAAAGGACTAACCCATTGAGTGGCAGCTGCACTCTCCCCTTGACAAGTAAAATCATCTGGTTTTATACAGAGTAACTGAATAAAGTTGGGTACGTACATCAGGGCACACTGTTACTTATAAAGGGTTAATTAAGAATTTAATACTACAATGGTTATCAATGTACATTTTTACTACTAAAATGAGATATAATTGTTTCCTCTAGCTTTGATCAAACTTCTTAAGTAAAAAAAAAGTATTTGATGTTTTTAGTCGAGTTGCAAATTACATCACTCAAGTTTTGTTGCGACCTGGTGCTTCAGATCTTACTGGAAGCTTTAGGTAATGTATGTTTAGAATACACAAGATAACAGATTGTCTCAGAAACCTTTGGAGGTTTTTCTTCAGGGATGAGTTTTAGAGACACATATGAAACATTTACTGCATTTTCATTGAACACAGAGATGGGCTTTTCAACAACAAAAAATATTACACTACTAGTGAGAAACTTGTCTGTTAATCATTTAAGGACTGCCTACTGTAACTCCAGCCTATCATTTTAACAATATATTCCATCCTGTTTTTCATAGACTTTACAAAAAAGAAGTGCTTTCAGATCTGGTCAACTCGTGTGAGTCTAAGGGATTTGTCTTTCAGATGGAAATGATCATACGTGCCAGACAATTGGGTTATACAATTGGGGAGGTAAGTTCTTTATAAACACTCTGTCCAAACAGCAGACAATTTTAGTTGTCAAGGGGGGAGCACTGGCGCCCAATGGGTTAAGAACAAACAGTTGCAGACAAAAACATTTGTCTATTCTTTCATGCAACTTCAATGTTACAGTAACTCAGCCTTAATATGACTTGCATCTGAGCACAGCTACAGTGGGCATTGTCAATACTCCATGTGGCAGGAAAGTACCCAGAGAAAACCCATCACTTTCAGTAGAGCGTTGATGAACTCTTCACGCATCAACTATTTCGCTGACCTCAGAATGACATTTCGTCAAAACTTTTTTCTTCAAGATTGGTTTAGAAACAAATTTGG